TGAACTTATCACTGAAACTGAACTTCCTGAACTCCAGTGTGTATTTACCTCAGTTTCAGCACTGCCCTAGGCAAAATCCTCCAAGCAATAACAAAGAACTCCCTCCATGCAACCACACTATTATCCATTTCTGTTCATCCACAGAATGTGTACTCCTTATGTTATTGTGCTTTGACTATTAACTTTTTGGAAATTAGCAAAGAGATAGGAAAACACAGCATCTCTAACAGAAAATTTGTAAGTAGTAGAGTTCATAGAAAACCGTCATATAATCTCAGAAAGCCTGAAGAGATTTAGCAGGAAAAAAATATGAGACAGAGCATTCTTATTTCATACTGATACTCTAAACTTGTCTTTTATTATACAGAACAACAAAGAATAACAACACAAAAAAAATTTGTTGGCATGCAAACGTCTAATGTTTAATTCTTTCTTGCAGTTTGAATAAGCAATCAAATTAGTCTCTTGGACAGGCAAACAAGTCCACTGGCACTGGTTTACCCAAAAAATAGCACATTAAAGCTAATTAATACGATAGCTATCAATGAGTACATATGATTGCTGCCATAGGTATGCTAGCATGCTTCTGATTAGATGGGTATCTTCTCAAGCACAATTTAATAGAATTTATATAGAAAGGGTTCTGCAAAAACTAAAGAGCTGTAAAAACCACCTTACTCCTCCAAAACTCTGAGTCTTCTTTCAGATTCATATAATCTATAGTTGCAGACTTTTCCATCTCATCCCATGAAAAAAAAGGGAATTCTGTCGTTACCAAAAGCCAAAAAAACCCACTGAAAACAAACTCCCAAAACATCAAATAAACACCAACATAACTTAATGCTCTATGCTCTATTATTTGTGGCTTTTGCAGGCAAAATGTTCCCTGATAGGGCCCAAGTTACTGTAAGACCTAGTTTTCCACCATCCATTATCTGAAATTGTCAGAATACCAAAGGCTGAAACTGCCTCTGGACTCTTCCCCAGTTGATTGAAAGGTTTATCGGTGGTATCACTGGAATGGAGATTTCGTCATAAATCCCGTGTGACTCCAGGGTGTGTAGATTAATAAAGGCACATCATATACTGCAAAATTACAAAGCCTTTACAAGGAACAGCCGACTTCTCTTAGAGAACTCTGGACAGATGGCAGGATTTGACTATCACTAAATCAGCTTAGTCAAATGCATTATTGGTTCTTCCAATATTTGCTGTGTATTCCCAAAGAAACTGCTGAATGAAAAAGGCAATGTGTCAAGCTTATGGCAAGTAAATATCAGAAATCCATTTTTCTCTAAGATCATTCTCCTCCTGATCTGCTCAAAACTTACACAAATTACAAAAAAAACCAGAGCTCCTCTTGAAAAAGCAGCTCATTACAAAACACTAAAGATCAAAACCTAAATTCTACTTTTTTTTGTGCATTTGCTATTTAATTAAGTGTCTGTTAAGCTGCTTCTTTGCGACTATTGAGTATTTCAGGAAAATCAGGAGGTCAGAGTGACTGCCACAGAACCCCCACATCAATGAACAAGCATAATGGGCTTTCAGGTATCTAAAATAACAGGTCCCTCAAAGGCTGGAGTGCAGCTTCTCTGCGAGATAATTCCATCAGCAAGGGATGAGTGCTTCACTTATCAGAACTGCCACATAATGCTCAAGCACAAATTAATGCTTGCAAGAAAAGGTGCATGATTCTGCTTTCATTTCTAGAAGGCAATTTTGAGCTCTTGTTAATTTTCTTCTTAAAAGCACAAGGAATCCAAAGATTACCAGATTTGTAACCAAGCATTCACAGAGAAATTTATTTTTTCAGTACATAGTGAAAACTTATTTTGATGGAAGTCACAAGCATTCATATTTTACTAAAAGAAATTATTCTCAAACATTTTTGCCTATCCTCTGTGCAGTGATATTTCTTCTGCCTTGTCACCATAAGGTTAATGCTCAGGAAGGAGGACAAAGTGATTATTACTGTGCATTACAAGGATTGTTTGCTGCAGCAATTACTCTTCAATCAGAATGTTACTTTTGTTTATACTCAACAAGGATAAAAATATGAGCCCTAGATATTCTCATATGCTATATATACATTTTACACTGCTTAAATTATGAGCAGGTAACACACGTTAATATAGGTGTGACATGGCTTTTAATGCAAAATTATGACAATTCTTTTGAAATCCTAACATTCTGTGCTATTAAATATCTGTTCTCGTTTGAATCTACATGAGAGAAGTAGGTAATTTTATTTGCATCAATACACTGAACTAACAGGTATATATTCTTATTTGTATGACAGTGAATATTGTATTCTTGTAACCTGTATATTTACTCCCCTGAATTATTATCTATAATACAGCCAATGCTTCAAGTTTCCAACAAAAAGGTTAAAAAAATTACCTCCATAGACAAGTACTGTGCTTTTCAATGTATGTTAAGATTTTTAATAATGATACTGAGAGCTCATTAATAGAATTTGCATAGACAGCACACAATCTCCCCACAAAATTTCTACAATTGATTCCTTCTGTGATTTGACTCGAACTGAATGGTGTCAAGTAATTTATTCACCATTGTTTGGGACAGGCTATTTAATTCCCTTCTGACTCCTGAACAACGTGAGAGGTTGCGTGTGTCTTTGTGTTAGCACACGTCCTGGTTAACTGCATTAACCACACACAACAGGCCTGTGCTCACTTAGGTGGGTCTTTTCAAATAGATGGCAATTAAACCCTCCTACATATGAATCACTTTGCATTCACAGAATACTTTCTATATGAGCATTAAATATTTACAAATGAGGCTGGCATATTTTATATAATTTCACCACCTTGGCTGAGATGACTAAGGAGCGCTATCATTATGTACATAACAGAGTTACAGGCAGGTGCAGATTAAACAAGGTCACCTTATTCCTTACTCCCATCCTCCTATTATGGCTATGGCACCTGGACTCTGAACTTGACACACCACTCATATTGCTGGCTTGAAATAAAAGGTGTCCCAATTCTGGATAGTTTACAGGATGTATGGAAAAAAAGTTATGATTGTTATTTTTAAAGATTTTAGGACGTTTCCCACATATCCTAGCATGTTCATTTAGGCCACACTCTCTTCCACAGGAATCAAAAAAAGTGAGATGAGTGGTCTCTGCTGAATTCCTAGTTCTGAAAAATACAAACATCATCAACTTCAAGTCTAACGCTGCAACCCCAAAGGAATTTTGGAGGAGAAAAAGGCTATGACTCCTTCACAGCCTCCTTCAAAATGACAAAGATAAAGAGAAGAGTGCATATGCTAATAGTCACAGTGCTGCTTATTAGAGACATTCTAAAATGAAGCCTCTGTCTCATGGGAAGCTCCAATCTGCTTTTCAACTATCAACAAACATACTTTCAGAAGACCAAAATTAGAGAACTCTTTTCCCATGGAAGATGAAATATAGCATATCGAACTGACTCTTACTAGGCATTTTCATTTGACGCAAAAACACTTCCACTTTCCCAAAATGAAGCATTTTATGTTTTGTTTAAAACATTTTAACAGTGGTTTATTATCTGCATTTTTAGGGCCTTTGATTATGTTTAAAAAACGTATGTTTTAAGTTTTAAAAAACACAGAGCAAAATTGTAAACATACTTACCATGCAAAGATTATGACACACTAGATTATAATTTGTAAATAAGGCACTAGATTTGTGAACTGAGATTTTTCCAATCCTGAAACAAATGCAAGATGCATTTGTTTAAACCTAACCACAAAAAGCAATAAAACATGCCTACTTCCAATTTCTGTACTTATATCTGTTATGAATTATTCCTTACACTGTATCCTGCAGAAAGAATATTTCTTGTATTATTATTTTTCTTAATAAAAGCCTAGATAGCCTTAGCATTTTACCATCTGTAGTTGAATTAGCTGGCCTTTCATTTTGTCTTTACAACCAGCCATCATCATGCACAGTTTATCTATGAATAAACCACTCGGTAACAGTACTTTGTCACCTTCACATATATTATTGATGAGAAAGCTGACAAGCTGCCAATTAAGATGCTCCACCAATTGTCCCATCTCCGGATGGAACAGTTGAAGTAAAAACTCAATTTTACATTTCAAAGGCAGTGAGAAAAGGCTGCCCTGCAAAGGACACAGAAATCGTATTTATTGCTGGGAAAGTTTATTTGAGTAGACTGTATTATTTACTCTGTGTGATAATAAAAATTAGACTGAGTTCACATCTTGTTCAACTAGATGTTCTACTTAGTTTTGTATTCAGTCTTGGATTAAACCTATGAATCTGACATATAAAGCAATTACAGTACTAATCACAGTTTAGTGTCAAAAATATAGATTCAAATAACGGTCAAGATACAAATCAAGCAGATTTAAGTGGATTTGTGTTTCTACTGTTAACCCAGCAAGACATACAGCAATATTTCTTGGACTCCAAAACATTGCCAAGTGATAAATTAAAGGTCATATCAAAAGTATCTGAAATCAGGATGCTTTTAAATTAACAAACAACCCTGAGATCACTTGTATCCTCTGCTTCCATCCAAATTCTCAGGTTCTCAAAAATCACCAAGCCATTCCATAAACTAAGTAATTTATTCCATGACCATCCTTTCTAAAGTAAGTATAACAGAATAATTTATCCAACAGAAATTACCTACATTAAATATTCTTTAAAATACACATAGGTTTTAAAGAGATTAACATCAAATGAGATTACACTGGCTGCATCACAAATCTTTAATCTTGTTTTTAAAAAACCACATAGCCTTTCTTTCCTGTATTTTTGAACATGAGACTAAATATCCCATGTTAAAACACACTTGTCAGCTGCCAGTGAAAGTCATAAATACAATAAACAGTACAACTTTGCAATAATAACTCCACACGGTAAGTATAAGTATACTACATCTACACTACAAGTTAATGAAGAAGAGCTGAGCTAAATCAGCATGAACAGAGAAAAAACAAAATACTTCTCTTACCTCCATTTCTGTGCAGTGTAAACGGCTTGATTTATCTGTAAGGGAAAAAAAAAGTTTTCAGATAAAGTAAGAGATGATGGAAGAACAAAACTAAAAAGCTGAGTCACTTCACTTTTTTAATTGATCGCCAAGTATTCCTTGACTAATTTAAATCACACATTTCAATAATGTTTTTATTATATATGCATCATGGTACTAACAAGAAGGCCCCACCCTTTTATTTGAATCCTTTACAATACAGGTTTTTAAAAAGATATGTCTTTAATGCCTGGCTTCATTATTTAAATAGTATGATTGATGTTTGGCCATGGAGGGAACATGAAAACATGTTGGTTTAAATTAAGCAGTAGCAAATACTTATTTCAAGAGAATAAGCAGCATTAATTCATAAATTAGGGAAAAGCCACTGTTTCATCTGATACTTCTGGGATTTCAAAGAGTTCAACAGAAATATGAAGTTCAAGCAAATTAAAGTTAAAACATTACTGTACTATTTTTGTAAGTCCCACTTGTCAATTTTTGCATTTCCTCTGAGTTCAGAAACTTTGGAATTTGTGTAATAAAGAAAAATTAAATTTCTGAACTGTTTCTTTAAATTGAAATCTCAATTTTCTGAAACATGAAACAGTTTTATATCAAAGTGGCTTGACAGCCTAGCAAAAAGAACACTGAAATTTCACAGCGCATTAGGAAAGGATCGTATCACTAAAAACAGCAAGTTTATTACTTTCTATTAATAATCTTTATCAAAGTAGGGTGAAGGAATCCTGACAGGATGATTTCCTGCTGGAAAAAAACATATTTAAGAAAGTTAATTATTCCACAGAAATCTATCCATTTGAAAGGGGATCTACCCAAAACTTTAATTTCAAAACACATGGACATCAAATTTTGCATTTTTGTCTTAGCTTTTCAGCTTCATTGCATTCCCATTGCTGGTTTAGAATTTGCAGCTTTGGACCCAATAGCACAGAGCCTACAAAACACATGACATAATTCTGAGACCTCTCACACTCAAAAACTAGAACAGGATGCATTTGTTTGACTGTGTGTACTCTAAGAGCACATGCTCAGGGATGATGAGGAAGGATTTACAGCAATAGTTTGGAAAAGCCTGTGATTTGTACCCCTAACTGGAAGGACTATTTTATCAGGCTGGCTGACAAGCCCAAGGAAGCTCAACCAACTGGCTGGCACAATGCTTGCACAGAGGAGTGATAGCGCTGACTTCATATGACAAATGTGAACACTCAGCTCTGGGAAGAGACACCTGCACAGAAAAAAACCTAATTTTTCATACTGAACTGGTCACCTTCCCTTTGAAACTAAAGGTTAAACACATCCTGAATGAATACGGAAGACCCACCTAACAGGGTGAAAGTTGTTTCCTTTCGAACTGTTGCCAAAGCAAGCTAATGCTTAGCACTGGTGTCTGACTTCAAAACCAGGAGCAGAAGAGGGACTTAAAAAGGTTTTTGCATCACATATTATCTTTTCAAAAGGACTGGTACCTCTGGTTCATTCACTTCCAGATGCACATAATAGATTTTTTGGTGTTTAAAATTGTAACATTCATGTGATGGTTACAAACTATAAACAGGAGAAATTTACTGATAATATTTTTAACTGCTAGGATTGTTAGCAGATTTATTAATATTAGGGGCTACTTTTGTGAAATCAAATGACAAGTGACCCAAAAAATGTATCTTTATGATACAAGATGATACAAGATGAAATTAGAGAAATGTTGCCAAGATAGGGAAAGAAAAAAGCACATGCTCTCTTTAGAAATATATTACTTATTTTAAAAAATTACTACTTCATCAAAAAGTACTAATTTTAAACCTATAGCAATGCAGTGCATCCAGTAGGCCACCAATGTTTGCAATCACTTATAGTTTAAAATATCTGGATTTGCATCTCCTATGGTCTAAAGGAACAGGAGCCAAGCTGTCCACTAGATCCTCTGAGTAGCATCAAGTACCTATTGCTGCAACTCACAGCAGTGCTGAGATTCTGTGAACATCCTTTTAGCAGAAGTCCCAAACAAATAAATCAGCCCAGACCAAAACAAGATAAAATTTTAATTTCTAAAAGTAACAACAAGGAGCTTATCTTGCAGCTCCTTTGATAAACTTCCATGAAAGCTGTTCCTCAAGGAAAAGCACTCAAACTCTGAAGGGCTTTTTTCACTGTTAAACCCAACTATTTATTCCTATTTACACCAGTATTTTAAAACCCAATAGTTTTGTCATGAGTGCATATGCTGCGGCAGGAAGGGGGAATAACAAGGATTTCATGCACCCAGACAGTATCCTAGCTGGTGCAAGTAAATGACTTACAGCATTTTAATATACAGTGCATTATGGTAATTATTTACCATTCCATATGCCTCTGTACCCTGAGACCAGCTCTACCCTTAGCAGATTTCCCAAAGCTGTTTGCAGTCACTTGTGGACTCCCTCCATTGGGAATTTACTACATTTCTGAAGAGATCATTAACAATACTATTGATGCACTTACATGCACTGAAATGAATTTGCTTTTACATGGCCCCTGCAAGCCAATTTATTTATGCTGGCTTTATCTATACTGGCTGAGAGTAGAAATTTCTTCTCTCTTCATTGACATGACTGAAAAAGCAGTAACTCCTAAATGTAGCCTAAGGGTCACACTCCCTTCATTAGCACTGGAGAAAAAAAAAATGCCCATAAGTTATAGAACAGTCTGGCTGCAAGCAGGATGAAGTGTTTCTCTGGTAAACAGGTGAAGCCTTAAAAAAACTATTTCAGCTGCTGAATCTTAACATAAACACAGACTTTTCCAGACTTCAGAACCATACAACTAGATATTCATCTGGGCAGAATTTTTACCACTCTTGCTGCCAGAAAAAACATTCAACAGTAATTTTCCATGACAGTTTTCAAATAGAAGCTAATGCATTCATTACTAGTAAACAGCATAACTTTAACTGTCAACTTCAGTTTATAAACAAACTACGGTTTGGAAAATTAAATCATTTTTCACTCTCAGCTTGTTGAAATGCAAAAAGTTAACAGTTTTTGAAAGAAGGAAAGTGACTTACATTGGAGGTTTCCTGTACTTCTAAAAACAGTCTTCAGAGAGACACATTTGACAGGAAAAAAAATAAAAAGAAACCCCAAACCTTCACATTCATTTTTTGTTCTTCAAAATTTCTATTTGAAAAGTATTCTTCTGTCAAACCCTCAGCAAAAGGAGTCATGACAAACTTTCCTCACACACTAGGGAAGACTGTCTCATCCCTTAAGGCAGGAGCTCCCTGTACTCCTACCAATGGTAAGAAGCACACATTTAAAACTGAGTTTTAAAAGCAACATAGATAACTCAGTATGGTAGAATGGACTGACCCAGGGTGTTTGTAGGATAGCAACTGGGATGTGCCAACCCATCTGCACTCCTCTATCTGAAGAAAAATCAAGCTACAGAGTTGACTTTAGTGAGGTGACACCACAATCACACAGCCACAATTTCAGCTATAATCAGCTGATCTAAGAGCCCTGCAGCTCAGAGCATCTCCCTACCCTTCCTCTAGTGTCTCAGACTCCATTGCTCACATCCACAGGCAGCTCCTTCAAGACAGCTTCTTCCAGAACGGAAATGATAAGCACTGATTTTTCTGGCAACATTGTGGCGGATGCACATATTGGCAACAACCTGGAAACTCATTTTGTGTTAAAGATTAATATTGTAATTAAATGCCACAGCCCACTTCTGCAGGTTTGGAGTGAAATCAAGCTGTTGTTGCTACAACAACAGAACTCAAGTTGCCCTCAGGAATGACAGACATTGCCTGTATGTACTGGAGGACTGGAAGAGAAGGATGAAGAAGGAACATAAGGGCTAACCTAGGGAAAGGGAGAAAGGAAGAATATGAGACACACTAACTCAAGTTCCTTGAGTTAAACAGTCTTTAGTCATGACCTCAAATTAACAATAAACTGAATTTGTATTTGCTTTCTGGCTTCTACATCCTCAAGAGGCAATAGTAGCTACAATACTGAGCTTTTCCTTTCCATTAAGAGAAAGAGGACTCCTCAAGTGAAAAAAAGTTCAGACTCACTTTTAAACATCCAGAAACTGGAGTTTGGTAACTGGAATTACCAAAACCTGGAGATTTGATAACTAATCTGAAACTGGTCTGATCAGTTACCAAAAATGACAAGTTCATCAATACAAGAGTCAAGATGAGCACCAATAAAAGGAAAGAGAATGAAAGAAGAAAGAAAAGGCAATCATGCCACAGAAGGAAAAGAGATAAATATGCAAAGAATAGGATTTATAATTAAATGCAGGAAGAAGAAAATATTGATATAGAAGGAGTGAGCCTGGCTGAGGACAGACACTGAAAACTTGTATGATAAAAAGAAACAGGGAAAAAAATTGAGAAAGTTAAAGATAAATATAGGAGTAAGAGACATCAGCATGCAGGGAAGAAGGTCAAAAAGAGAGAAGATGAGGAAGCAGACTGGATTAGGAGAAGTAATGAGAGACCCCCTCAGAGCAGGAAGCACAGAGACCCAAGTTCTTAAAAAAAATACTTAGGCTGTGAGGATCAACATATCTTTCCTTTAAACTGCAATTAGAAGGTAACAAGAAATGGCATGACATTTTAGAGCTTGTGGCTTTTTGGATATGACTCATGATTTCTGTATCATATTACAGCTGATGACTTAGTAATTACATGCCTCATTTTTTTGCTTAGGAAAGAGAAAACTGTAAAAATTTTAAAAGAATGCAAAAAAAATTCTTAGAGAGGTTTCTAGACCAATGGCAATCAAGACTTTCTTTCCCTGTGCCAATTTCTTTTCATGCCTTCTTTTTTCTCCATTCAACACTTCATTGAAGTTACTCCTCATTTTGAACAGTCATAAGCACCTTTTGTCTCTTGCACAAAGTAAAGGTAATGACTAAGGTCTTCTGTATTAATGCCCTGTTAAATTTTGTAATAAAAATATTTTAAATTGCAAATTAACAAATCCATAATAGCTTAGTG